TGGAGCGTTGCGTCTCCCTTCATTGTCGCCGCGGCTTCAATCTTCACCTACGCATACACTATAAGCTCAATTTCCCCTTCCGTTCTTTTCCCCATGATCGAGCTACTGCCTCACCTTCAGTCAACATTGGGGTTCCTTCCTGTTGTATTCAATGATTATTTCGAAGCCAGGTCTAATGCGCGCCGCATGGAGATTTTCTTGAGAAGACCTGAGCACAAGACAGTGCTCACTCCTAGCCCATCAGGCCAAGTTTCATTTCATAATGCGACTATTTCGTGGCCATCCGATGTGTTACAACAGCATCGCTTTTCTCTGTGTCATATTGACGTGACTTTTCCTACTGGTGAGCTCAGCATAATATATGGAAAGACGGGTTCAGGAAAGAGTCTTTTACTTGCTGCCATTCTTGGCGAAGTTGACCTCCTGGACGGTTCTATCAAAGCCCCATCGATGGCTGAAGGGCAACCTGTTGCATTCGTATCACAAACTCCGTGGCTTCAGAACGCCACGATCAAAGATAATATTTTGTTTGGAAGCTCAATGGACGGCAAAAGGTATGAGGAAGTTTTGACAGCCTGCGCACTATACCCCGACCTTGCTGCCCTGCCGAAGGGCGATGAGACCCAGATTGGCCTCCGAGGTGTCAAGCTTAGTGGAGGCCAACGCGCGAGACTCGCGCTTGCCAGAGCACTATACTCAAGTGCACAGACGTTAATATTAGATGACATATTTGCTGCTCTTGATGCTCATGTCTCCAGGGATATCTTCAATGCACTCACCGGTGCCTTTTGCAGAGGCCGCACGCGGATCCTCGTAACTCACCAGGTATCTTTGTGCTTGCCAAAAGCAAAATGTATTATCCATGTAGAAGATAATACTGCCAAGTACGCAGATGACACTGAATTTGTTGAGGAGAAGCGGAGTGCAGTCGAAGCTGAAAACGTCATCACAGCTGAACTGCCCGGACAAGAGAAACCGAAAGAACGTACAACCACGCGGGTGAAAAGCAAAGGTCTTGACGCGCGTACAGACGCAAAGGTGTATAATACATACTTCACCGTAGCAGGTGGACTGTGGTTCACCATAGTATATCTTTTGGGCCTCGTCATCAAACAACTCCTCGGCTCCTTAACGACGAGGACTTTAGGTCGCATTGATTCGGCGCGTCCCAAGCCCCTCAGCCCAGAGGCAAATGTCTCATCAGTTGCTCCAGAACCGGAGGGCGGGTGGGAGCAGTATCTCTATCTTTATCTGCTGACTTCCATGTCGACTGTCTTTTTGGAATTTCTATTCAACCTGCATGCCTTTTCCGGGTCCTTACGTGCCTCTCGATCACTGTTCCGCGCGGCTACGTTTAGAGTCCTCCGGATGCCCCTGCACTGGCTCGATAGCACACCTATTGGAGAGATACTCAGGCGACTCACTGTCGATGCCAAAAATGTCGATGATCATGTCTTGGTCACCATGTCTGAATTTGCGGACAACTTTGTCCAGATGATATTGATTGTGTATATGGGGTAAGGTGCACCTTTACGGAGAACCAAAATTGCCTGCTAATTTATCCAGGTTGAATACGTCCAAGTATATGAGTCTGTTGACAGTGACCCTCCTCTACTGGTGTGCAGAAGTTAGCAAGCTCTATATAAGGGCACGAACGACGGTCAAGCGAGCCGACTCGGGACCAACTGCTGCTATTCTTGAACACTTTACGTCTTCTGCAGCAGGAGTCATGACGATTCGAGCCTTTGGTGCAACAGATTGGTTAGCTGCACATATGCATGGGCATATTGACAGGCTGTCTACGGCTAGAAGACACTTCTTCATATTTAACCGCTGGCTGAGTCTCCAGATGTCTCTTATCGGCGTCATTTTCAGCATCGGAACGGGTATCATTCTATTGTCGACTTCTGCGGCCGACGCATTTTTGATCGGGTACTGCCTCAGCTATTCCATGCAGTTCTCACAGGCTATGTTCAAGGCCATCAATAATTTTGGGATGCTCGAAACCTATATGAACTCAGCCGGAAACATTATAGCGTACACCGAGTTGGAGCCAGAAAAGCAAGGTGGTCGAGAAGCCCCTAACAACTGGCCATCGCAGGGAAATATTGAGGTCAAGTCACTTGCCGTTTCCTATGCACCTGGACTCCCTCTTGTTCTGGAAGATGTGTCGTTCAGTGTGAAGGGTCGTGAAAGAGTTGGCATCGTAGGCCGTACGGGAGCCGGGAAATCATCACTAACGCTAGCCCTGTTGCGTCTCGTTGAACCTCGGGCTGGTTCAATAGTTGTTGACGGCATTGACATGCGCACCCTGGCACTCCAGACCCTCCGATCACGAATCGCATTCATTCCTCAAGACCCCGTGCTATTCTCCGGAACGGTGCGATCTAACCTAGATTATAGCCATCAAATCTCAGAAGAAAGACTCAATGACGCCTTACGGCGCGTGAAACTTCTCAAGGAGAACCCGGAAGATGAAGACTCTGGCCTCTTCACACTTGACTCACGCATAAGCGCTGGAGGGGCAAACATGTCCCAAGGACAACGACAACTTCTGTGCCTCGCACGAATCTTAATCAATGATCCCAAGATCATCATCCTCGATGAGGCTACGTCAGCGGTAGATGATGAGACGGACCGGTGGATCCAGGATACGATTAGGAGTCAATTCAGCGGGACATTGATTGTGGTTGCGCATCGATTGAGGACAATATGTTCATTTGACAAGGTAATTGCTATGAGTGAAGGGAGAATTGCCGAGATGGGGTCACCGGCAGAGCTTTTGAGGAAGGAGGGGTTGTTCTATCGTCTCGTTCAAAGTAGTGAGGATCGGGAGTACTTGATGGAGACGATTGGATGAATTTGTTGGGGATACCACCAGAGCGCTTCGGCATTCAAGCCACACAGATTAACTTTTCCAGTAGCACTACTTGGAAATCCCGAGACTAGACTGGGTTGTAGGCGAAGGAAACCGGCTTTAACCGTCCAGCAATCCGAATCCTACACAAATCGAATTACACACAGCCAACTAGTAAAGGATTGGGACGGGAGATGATAACTCTGGACCCTTGAGCATCACGAGCTGATAAGTAAGTAGTAAGCATGGGTAGTAATAAACACCGCACAGAAAACGGAGAGGATATCAACTTATCGCCAACCCCGCCTGATATGGCTCTTGGCACACCGGGCGGTTAGGTAACAGATATTCGCCGTCGGGGGTGCCGCCAAGGCCGCCAAGCCATGTGGGTGCCCCGCGGGGGATGACAGCTTTTCGGTCATTCCCGATGCAGCTTAACCAGTAACCTCGTCGAGGGGAATCTGCACATGTCCCATGGTTTGCTGGTAAGCCTAACGCTAGAAAAGGAGGTGAGTGGCTACCCCGTATCTCCTGGAAGATAAGGAACTGGTTTCTGTTATGCTTCGCCAAGCCCGTCCGCTGGCAACCCGGCCAATGGCGGACTTTGTGTATCGTCATGGCGGCATCAGATCGCGACTGATTAGTACTTACTTCCATCTTTGGGCTCTGGTCAGGAAAAGGACCCGATAGAGAGGCTCTGACCGATGCTACCCTGAACCAGGTGACCTGGAATTGATCTTGTAATGAATGGTACGGTGGCTGAGGCTAAGTAGTTAAAATGGAGTATGGGGTACAGTAGTTTCCTCTGATTAGCCTATTGTAGTAGTAGCAGTGGTAGCTTTTACTGTAAAAAATACTCATAGTACCGAGTTTGTTTGCTTTGTCTTCCATTAACTTACGCTTGTCTTCTTTTTTTCCTTTTTCTTCTCCTCATTCCTTCCCCTCAGCTGCTGTTCCTCACTCTCCCCATCCCATCGTGCTGTGCAGACGTTCACCGGTTATCACCTTCAATCTCGTTAGCTCTCTCGTTTCTCCCTGTGTAGTGAGCGCATCTCACAATAAGACATGGGCCTCAGAGAAGATGGCTCCGCCGACATTTCCCCCGAGAAACGACAGTACGTGACGGATTATGGCAGCGGCGAGGATACCCTCGAGGCTGCTCCTGGCGACCATGATCTGCATCGTGCCCTGAAGGCTCGCCACATCTCCATGATTGGTATGCCCTTCACGTTGACTGCACATGCGCGGCAGAAAGTCTAACAATCAACTTCCCAGCCATTGGAGGTGCAATTGGCACGGGTCTCATCATAGGAACTGGATCTGCTCTTGCAAAGTAAGTCAGACTGTCACTTGCAGTTTTGTGCCACGCTAATCGATTGTCCAGGGCTGGTGTAAGTATCCTATCCCAGCAACAACATACTTAGGAACCTTTAGTCTGACTCGCACAGCCTGCCTCCATCCTCATATCCTACTCGGTAGTGGGCTTCGTTGTCTACCTTGTCATGTGCGGCCTGGGAGAAATGGCTGCCTGGTTACCATTGTCCTCTGGCTTTACAGGTTATGCGGTGCGATTCTGCGACCCTGCTCTCGGCTTCGCGCTTGGCTGGACGTATGAGCCCCCCTTTACCCTACTCTCTCTCGTGTCACTGCTAATCTGGGGTCACACAGCTACTGGTTCAAGTACATCATCGTCACACCTAACCAACTCACTGCCGGTGCCCTTGTGATATCGTACTGGATAGACACAAGTCGAGTCAACGCAGGTGTCTGGATAACCATATTCCTCGTCCTGATAATAACCATAAACTACTTCGGGGTTCGCTTCTTCGGCGAATTCGAATTCTGGCTCTCCTCGTTCAAGGTCATTGTCATTCTGGGCATCATCCTCCTCTCCTTCATCCTCATGCTCGGTGGTGGCCCCGATCACGACCGCAAAGGCTTCCGCTACTGGAAAGACCCTGGTGCCTTCAATACCTACATCGACGATGGCCCGGCCGGCCGCTTCTACGCTTTCTGGGCCACCATGGTCTCTGCCACCTTTGCCTACCTCGGCACAGAGCTCGTCGGTGTGACCGTCGGCGAAGCTGAAAACCCCCGCAAGAGCATCCCCAAGGCTATCAAACTCACCTTCTTCCGCATCGTCGTATTCTACATCGTCTCCGTACTACTTGTCGGCACCCTGGTCCCCTACGACTCCAAGGAACTCATCTTCGCCACGAACCAATCCAGCTCCGCCGCAGCCTCCCCCTTCGTCGTTGCCATTCAGCTAGCAGGCATCCCCGTCCTCCCTCACATCCTCAACGCCTGCATCCTCCTCTTCGTCTTCTCCGCCGCCAACTCAGACCTCTACATCGCAACCCGGACCATCTACGGCCTCGCCAAAGAAGGCAAGGCCCCCAAATTCCTCTCCAAGACCGACCGCCGCGGCGTCCCCGTCTACGCGCTCATCCTCTGCTCCTGCATCGCCTGCATCGCCTACATGAACGTCTCCAACGACTCCAAAACCGTTTTCCGCTACTTCGTCGACCTCGTCACCATCTTCGGGCTCCTCACTTGGATCTCCCTCCTCGTAACACACATCTACTTTGTCCGCGCTCGCAAAGCCCAAAACATCCCAGTAACAGACCTGGCGTACCGCGCCCCGCTCGGCGCCGCGGGCTCCTACGTCGCCCTGGTCTTCTGTATCCTCATCTGTCTCACCAAGAGCTATGACTGTTTCACCCATAACAAGAAATGGGGTAACTTCGATTACAAGACCTTTATCACGGCTTATCTGGGAATCCCGTTGTACTTGATCCTCATCTTCGGGTATAAGCTCGTCACGAGATGTAAGGGACTTAGTCCGTACGAGGCGGATCTGTTCACGGGCAAGGATGTCGTGGATCGGATGGAGGAGGAGTATTATCGGCGGGAGGCTTTCAGGGAGGAGACGGATGGGAAAGCCGGGTGGTTTTATCGGAAGTTTGTGGCGTGGTTGTTCTAGTTTTCCATCTTTTTTTTTTCAGTCTTTCTTCTTTTTCTTTCCCTTGATTCTGCTGCTCGGCGTCGGGGATGCGAAGATTCACCCTTAGATGGGGGATGTTCTTGCGCTAAGTTTATCTAGAAATTGCCGGGGCGGAGGTTTATGTACATGCATCGGAAAGATACCTAACGAATGAATGTATGACGATGATCATGATACACTGCACCTGGGTAAAGAGTGGGGTGAAGTAGCTTATGAGGCTTAGCTTTCAATTCCTTACAGATTAAGTACAGTACGGAAGGAATGAAACACCAGTTAGTTACTCGGGTCCATTATTTGATAGGACGATTCATTGAATTACTCTGTATTTAATTATGTAGAGAATACCCCTAAGCTCTATAGGCTATAGGCACCTGAAGGGAACAGTATCTAAAATAATAAAAAGAATCGAGAAGCAGAGCATGATAAACACGTCAATCACTCCCGCAAACCCGTCATTAGTCATTATTGATCGTCATCAGAAGGAGAGTATATGGGCGAGGGTGTCATATAAATAGGGTTGATTAGTTTGTCCATCATCAGCGTCGTCGCCGAAATTCGTATGTGTGTTCGGTGGCCCAATATGTATCTTCCTCTTCCTCTTCCTCTTCTTCATCATCATCATCATCGTCGTCGTCATCGTCTGTGTAGTCTTCTTCCTCCACCATTACCCATTCCTTATCTTCGTCTTCGTCAATGTTGGGCAGGGGGCCGTTGGCGTTGTGTAGATACGCCGGGGAGCGGTCATTGGATTTTGAATAGCGGCTATCCAGATCGGATTCGTCCTTTGACAGATCGAAGAGTTCTGATTCCCAATCGACGTCAAATGAGTCGCCTCCGATGAGGAAGGATCCCAATTTCAGAACAACATTGTAGATCTCCTTGCCGGTGGGGATGATGTGTTCAGACGGAAGGAGGAACCCGTAGCTTCCGCGATCACGAAGCTTGATCTGGTATGAATAAGTCGCGTGCACTTGGTGGTAAAACCAGTCCAACGCACTGCCACCGGAGTTGCCACCAATGGGGAAGAACCGCCCGGGGTTGTTATCTGCCGCACTGGCCGTGACGATGCCTTCGCAGGCAGAAGTGACATCGTAGATTTCGTGAGTCGCGTACCGAATGGCCTTGGCTAGGCCAAGGCCTAGCTCTTCCAGGCTCTCGAGCGTTGGAGGGATCGAGGAGCAGGAGTAGGAGAAGGGGTAGAGAATTGTTTGAGAGTAAGAGTGAAGGTCAAGGAAGCTCACGATGTCGGCATTGTTGTTTTGTGTCTCGTTGAGCGCCCACTGTGCTAATTGTTGTGCTTCCATTCCCTCGAAGGGCTCGTCTCCAGCATAGTTTTCTGAACAAGGGTTAGCGCGGGTCCGACCGCCGTCCCATTCGAAGCCCCAGGCGCGGTCAAGATCGATTCCGGGACAGAAGCGTAGGCTGGTCCGCTGTCGATTCTTGCGCCATAGTCGGTCCGTCTCCCAGGTATAAACATAGCCGTCGGGATTGATCGTGGGGATCATGATCCAGTCGAAGTCCTGTAGAAGGCGGGTAACGGCCTTGGATTTGCCATACTTGGTAATGAGCGTGTACATTACATGGTTCACGGTTGAGGTGCCAATCCATTCGCGGGCATGGCTACCACCCGTAACGATGATTGTTTTACGAGGGCCTGACGCCGCGGTGGAGCTGCCTGCGCTCAGTCGGAGGGCGGGAATTTCGCGACCCTCGTAAGATACTCCAACGCTAATCATGCGCACATGGGATGGAAACATGGAAGCCAGCAGCCGCATCCAGGGGATAATGACGGACAAAGGCTGATACTCGTGGAAAAAAAGGTCACCGAACTTTGGCGCAGGTCGACTCGAGGACGCAAATCCAGATTGTCCTTCAAGTCCTATCGGCTTTTTAGATGGATAGGTCGTATAGATTCTCTCTGCCAGGTTGTCTATTAGGGGAGTATATGCGGTCTGGAGGGAATTTGGTAGCAAGCCCAATAATGAGGGAATCTGTTGCGAGGGTCACAGTGGATCAGGCATCAGTCAACCGGGCAGATATGGACGGAAGGATGAACCACTTACGACTTCCTCGGCCAGTCGGATATCTACGAATGCTGGAGTAGACGCCCATACGTCCAGGAATAGAATGTCTGCAGCCTGGGCCAATGCCTCGGCCTCATCGTGATTGCGCAGGCTGAAACGAAGTACGACGTCACTACCGTAGCGCGCCAGAATCCGGGAGGGAGGAGAGCGATTGCGCGGGGAATCGTTGAGTGGGAATCGACGAGATGCGGGTTTTTCGATGCCCCATATGGACTCGATGATCCAGTCACGGAGGCGGATCCATGGCCTTCGGGGATCAGAGGGCTGGGAAGAGAGAAGGTGAACGGGCTCGACGGGTGGTTGTGGAGTGATAATGGAGCCGGCGGGGACGGCGGAGACCAGGGCGGCCGATGCGATCAGAAGCACCAGCAGTGATAAGAGGTGACGCATTATGGATGTTGAGTACGCCGGGATTGAAGAGTAGTCACCGAGTCATCTCCTTCAAAAAACCTAAAATGACAGACAAAAGTTTGGCAGGAAATGGATGGAGAAGGATGGCGTGAGTGGGAAGAAAAGTGGTGCACGAGAGCAGAAGTGAGAGAGAGAAAGAGAAAGGCCGAAAGAGGGAAGGAATGGTGGGTGACTTGGTAAGTATTGGGAGTGGAGACGAGGCAGTGCTGTGTGCCTCAGGCACCAAATGATGGCTGCTGCTCCTGGATTGTCTCCCCACAATCCCTGGAATGCTACCGAGTATTCAAGCTCTGGAACCAAGACTCTGCTGAACTTGGCTTTATTGAATCCTCATGTACTATATAAGAAGCAGTGAACCGTGTATAGCTGATTCTGTCACTTGAGTCGGAGAATTGAACCTTATATGGCTGGGACATAGCATCGAAGAAAGTGTGCCGGTGCTCAACACAAGGCTGAACAGGCAGTGATAGAGATACCGAGGTATGGTGTCTGCAGCCACCACGAGCTGGACACGAGTTAGTCTAATACTTAAAAGGCCCACGATTGATGATTAGGCTAAGTCGGCGAGGGCGAATGCAGCTATAATCGAAGTTTGGAGAACATCGAATGGATGCCCGCATTGGATGGCCCGGGCACTATTCCTGTTCCGGCTAGCTCACAGCTGCGGATAGTTACTGATTCTAACCGCTTTAAAACTAGTGGCCATGTCACGCCCCGGTCGACTCCGCTGACCCGCCATTCTGGAATAGGCAAGGGTGTCTGCGCTTCTGCTCTGCCGAACACTTTCAGTATATAGTGTCCCATGTACAGGAAGATATTTAGAGACTATATGGAAGCCATCAGGTACCTCCGATATAAAGTCTATGCGGCTGTCTCAGCATCAGCAGTACTCAAAGCCCTTCCAGACTCGAGAAGACCACACGTAGCATACCTCTGATGGGCCATAAAGGTCCCCCTGGAAGACGAAGGCTACAGTCAATGCTGAGCGACTTAGTTGGGCTTGTTTCTTGTGGTTAATCTAACTATTCAAACCACGCAGGCCCCTTCATGGATATGCTATTATTCACTCTTTCACACCGGTCCCTTTTACTGACATGCCTCGTCTAACTCAGAAGTCTTCACGGTTTAGATGCAGATGGGACGTGGTGGGACTTTTCTTGAGAGACTCAATTGATCGCAGTTTTCCTGAGAACAATATGCTACTTGTGTGTTGAAGGAGAACCCTGTACCTATAGAGACTGGTACGCCACAGCCATCCATAACAGTGGGATCAAAATCGAGACCGTGACTGATCTTGGTGGTCTAGACCTATCCCCACAGGAGTCCACCCAGCATCATATGTGTGGCCATACAGCCATATCATCGTACGTGTCAGACCCATCCCTCCCAGAAAGACGAAGAAAAGGGATCGTACACATAGTTGGACCCGGAAGCCAGAGTTGCCGCCCCAAAGCTCCTATCTGACCCCGAGAAGGTGGCCTTATATGATTCAAAGGTGCCCCTGCTTCTCTCCAAGCGTTGCTCGCATAGCTTACTGGTGCTGCCACATGAATTTGCCCTGTTTACCGGGCAATCCTATGTCGTCATCTTGAGATCGAAACTGTTGCTCTACCGACCACGAGGTCTCCTGGTGCAAAGACGCAGTATGGACTGTTCAATGTTATGACTTATTGCTCTCACGTATCAGCTCACGTCGTAGTTAGACTGACATCAATGAGAGAAAATATCTATCTATATATATATCCCAGGCATCATCGAACACGAATTGACTTAACGGTGCACTTCGCGGGAATTCATGGGCAGCATCCCAGTGGCATTCCAGGACTTGAAACGCCATAGTGAGCTAAAGTCAGTAAGTTATTGAGGTGCGGTTCTGTTCCTAATCCGAACCTTGGTTCGATAGGGTCAGGACACCGATAACCAGACCATCTAGCAAGCAGTCGTAACTGATCCAATTGAAAGGAACACAGATGCCTAGAAGAAGAACGACTCGGCCTACCGGCATCCAGCGGCAGCCAAGATGATGCAAATCAAGTTTGTCGCGACAAACGAGAAGGGCGATGGGGGCGACAATTGGGCGGCGACGGATCTGGCGGGCGAAAAGGATAGCCGGAGATGACGCCAGCGGTGGTCATGGCCTTGAGGCCTGACGTGGCCAGACCGCGGTCACGTGGCCGCATGGCTGGGGAAGCCAGTTGCAAGTTGCAGCTCCATCGCGCCGCCTTGCAGCTTTCTTACTCTTTTTCCCGGTCTATAGTTTCATTTGTTGTTTTCACAAAACAACAGACTTATACAAGGCCTGGCTGTCAGGGTTGCTCCAAGGGCGAGTCGAGGGTCCTGCGATCAGCATTGGCGGGAGCTGCGGAAGGGGAGCCAGCCAGCTTTTGCGGCCAGGAATTGATTTCCCCCCCATACTTGACTGCCATTTTGCTACTAGTGAAGGAACTAGTCTAGCTACTCCGGACGAGGTATCTAGGGGCTGTTTTAGGAGTTAAAGATAGAAACAAATCCACTGTGAAAACCGTCCGAGGTTCTGCAGACCAAACCCGATCGTGGACATATTTAGATCAGAGACATTGAGTGCTATTTACATTGGTCTTTATGGATTATGTGTGTGTGTAGTGTGTTGATGAAGGTGGTACATCATTGATGTAAGGACAACCCCTGGTCGAAAGAAACAAGTCAAATACATACATACATACATACATGGATGACATAGAAAATGTAATAGAGCTTCTAATTAATCAATTGACATGCCAGTCAAGATCGCGACCATAAAAAAAAACAATGTAACCAAAAAAAACGTCACACCAAAGGGAGGCTGACGGGCTGAAAAGGAAAAACTAAAAACTAAAAAAAAAAGAAAGAGTAAGGATATCCACAGTAAACAAGAGCGAGCGCACGTGTGGTTGGTTGAAATATGGCAATAGAAACTCCAACAGAAACCAACTCCACTTATTTCTGGAATCTCTCCGTCGTCAGCAGCAGCGAAAAGTGAACCCCAGCAGCATCATCGCGGTTCCGTCTTGTCTCGGCTCTCTCGCGCTGTCTTGCCTGGCCGTGATTCTTAGCCCTCCTGCCACCAACCCTCCCCCCCGGGTTTCCCACTCAATACCATTCCTTGTCTCCAACTTCTTCTTTTCCTAATTCTATTTTCTTTTCTTTTCACTTATATCGCTCTATGATTACTATTATTACTACTACATCACTCAAAAGTTCTTTGCTCTGCCCCTCCTTTGCTCTCCTTGGGAACTGCGTCCTAACTACTACTGCTAACTGACTAGTTTGTGGTTGTGGTTTACTTGGTCCCCTCACCTGCCCTGCCCTGCCTTCTCTCTCCACGCCCGCCCCGAATTCTCAACGCGGCCCTCCCTTCCTTCTCCATAACCCTTTCCATCGACCTCGCACCTGGCGATGTGACGGTCTTCAATTGGCGACCTTTACGATATTTCCGGAACACTGCATTTACGCGTTGGTGATTGACGACCTCCACCTCCTTTCCACGCCCCCCCTTTTTAGACGACTGCGCTCCTCCGCCCAGCGATCTTGCCCCCACCTCCTTGCGCTGCCAACTTTTCCCTGCCTCGCTTTCTCTCTCTCTCCCCTTCCGCTGATTCGCGATGCAAATTGGTCTGCTCGACCGGTGACATATTTCCTCAAATCCCCCCAAGAGCTTGCCGTCGCCATAGCTCCGATCGCAAATCCGACTGAAGCCGTGACATACCTCCCGCTGTGGGACGATCGCCAAGTATCAATCGAGCAGTATCGGATGGGTCTCTCAAGCACGCTGCGCTGCAGGATTACATAAAACACTATTCCTGGAAACCGTCGTCACTATGCATTGGAAAGCACTGCGCCTCGGCTCCTCTGACAACGAAGCCAAAAGACGGAGCTATCTGTACGATCCACCGCAGTCCCGTCACAGCGAACAGCTGCCTCGTCCAACGCTTTCGACCACCGCCCTCGCCCCTAGACATTCCGAATCTGCTCCACGGTCACCATCGCTGGCTGGTCCAGATGATGCCGAGCACAACGATGACTATAGGGCTGATGGCCCTGACCTCACACAAAGTCGCAGTCGCGCGGATGAACCCACTCTAAAGTCCAGAAACACTGGGAACTCACTGTTGCCGGGCAGCGGCCCGAATTGGCGCATGAACCGTTTCAGTTTCATGAGGCTTCGTCATGCGTCGGACCCGCAATTGTCCAAGTCTTACGCTAAAGCAGAGCAGGAGATCCCTCCTGTGCCATCCTTGCCTCCGCGTAAGTCATTCATCCCCCCAGAACCTACTATTTTCGCATCTCTTGTTTCCCACCCGACGATTTGAACTTGGTGACTAACCTTCCAATGCTTCTGCGTTTTATAGCTACAATCATCACGACGGCGCCGACAAGTCATGAATTCGAGGAGCCGGTAAAGCGGAAGAACAAGTTCAAACTGTTCCCCGATTCGAAAACTCCGACGGTGGAAGAGATCCCCCCACAACAGTCTACGGTCAATGGAAAGTCCAGGCATACTGCTCAGGGGTCGACAGGGTCGCAGACGGCGAATCCCTGTCGACCAGAGTCTCGAGTTAGCGGCGAGGAACCGGGCCGTCTGTCGACTACATCCATACGGAGCAGTGGCCGCGACCAGCCTGTTGACTCCCATGGCTCTTCTGTGACAGATGCACGGTTTTCCGAGTCATCACGTTCTGATCAGGATCGTGGGGATCATGGCGCTTCAGCCTCGCGTGGGATTCCAACGAGCGAGGGTTCAATTTCTAGCACAAAACGATTCCGTATGCCTCGCTTGAAGAGAAACAAGGGCCCCCTCTTTCCCTTACCTCCCAAACCAACGGCTTCGCAGTCGCTCAATGGACGTGCGCCCAAGTCGATACCGGGTTCCTCGATTCCCACGTCGGATGTTTCAGATGATCATGACCGGGATCACGTCTCTCCACTGCCGTCACCATCGCGCTCCTCCGCTGGTGTCGCCTCTCCTCGCCCCCCTCTCTTGAGGAAGGACTCGGCAAATTCCGCTCATTCGAGCCATTCAACGCCGTCCATTCGAAAACGTAACCCGCCTACTACACGGGCTCGCTCATCTACGCTGGATTCTTTGGCCAATATTCGGGACAGTGAGCCGCAACAGTCACCCCATCTCACCTCGTCTGGCCGAACGTCCACTTCAACCAGTGGACGGAAGAGCTTTGGCGATATATTCAACATCCCACAGCGGCTTCGACAGAACTCCGAGCCTCCGTTCCCCAGGAGTGGGTCTCCTGCGGCCAGGGGCGCGGAGACGCCGGTCTCCAAATCGCCCTCTTATCCGGAAAGACAGGAAAGTGATACCCCGGCCACGTATCTGGAGCGGCTTGATGCAACCGTACCAAAGAGTGTAATTGCCAGTGTACTCTCGCAATCAAATGATGAGTTCTATAAGAACGCTTTGCGCAAGTACATGAGAGGATTCTCATTCTTTGGTGACCCGATCGATATGGCCATTAGGAAGCTATTGATGGAGGTGGAACTCCCGAAGGAGACTCAGCAGATTGATCGTTTCCTCCAGAGCTTCGCTGACCGATATCATGAGTGTAACCCGGGTATCTTTGCGAGTACTGGTATGTCCCCTAAACACTCGCATTGTTGAATACTCTAACTCTTTCTTGTCTTTTGCAGACCAGGCATATTTCATTGCGTTTTCGATCTTGATCTTACATACCGACGTCTTCAACAAGAATAACAAACGAAAGATGCAGAAACCAGACTATGTCAAAAATACCCGCGGAGAGGGCATCTCGGAAGATATCCTGGAATGCTTTTATGAAAATATCTCCTACACACCTTTCATTCGCATCGAGGACACGAATCCCAACGGGCGTCATCTTCCGAAGCCTCGCCGAACATTGTTCAAGACGGCCAGCTCCGACCACCTCGGTCGTTCCACCAAAGAACCCATCGATCCCTACACCCTGATCATGGATGGAAAACTCGACTCTCTTCGACCAAGTCTCAAGGATGTCATGAACCTGGACGATCCGTATCGCTGTAATGGAACAGATGGACCGCCAGATATCGAGAACCTCCATCGTGCCTTTTCCAAAGCCGCTGTGTTGCAGATTGTCTCCCTGCGTTCACGGCCTGATGCCTTTATGCCATCGAGTATGGAAAACCCGATAGACTCCAACCCAGGCCTGGTGGATATCAAAGTAGCCAAGGTTGGATTGCTTTGGCGCAAGGACCCAAAGAAAAAGAAGGCTCGCTCGCCATGGCAAGAATGGGGTGCCCTTCTGACGTTCTCGAAGCTCTACTTTTTCAGAGACGTTAACTGGGTGAAGTCATTGATGCACCAAGAGGAAGCACACCACAAAGAAGGCCGCCGTCGAGCTGTTGTATTTAAACCGCCTTTGACCGACTTCAAACCTGATGGGATTATGCAAACCGATGATGCAGTGTCTTTGATTGATAATGGTTATAAGAAGCACAAGCATGCATTTGTCTTTGTTCGTCACAACGCTTTGGAGGAAGTCTTCCTAGCCAATAGCGAGTCAGATATGAACGATTGGCTGGCCAAGCTCAATTATGCTGCAGCCTTTCGAACCACTGGCGTCCGGAGCAAGGGCATGATGGCTACTGACTACGAGGCGCAGCGGAACCGGATGAGCCGCCGGGGTTCTAGTGTTTCCCTCAACGAAAAGGAACCGCCGTCGCCAAATCCCGAGGCAGATATGGGCGAAGACGTGATCGTCGCGCGGGGACATCTGATGCGCCAGAAGATCCGAGAGGCCAATGAGAAACTTTTCGTCAGCCAGCGACAGCTTGACGATCTGCTAAGGAACGCTAGACATCTGCAAGTCCTGACTCCAGTGCACTCCAGGGCGCGAGAGAGCGTCATTATGGCTGCGGGCCGCATGGCTGCCAAGCTCAAGTGGGTGAGGCAGGATATCTGGCGTACCAGGTGCTACCGCGAAGTGCTCGTTCGCGACTTGGGTGAAGGGGACGCGGAGACACCATCTTTGGGCGAGCAAAAGCGTTTGCAGCTACAGATTCCCGCAGATACCACCTCCCCTGAGTTAAGGGAAGGGGAGGATGAAGCAGCGCCAGAGAAACTAGCGTCACCGATCAAGGAGACGGCGGCGCCGCCTTCGCCGCACCCTGAATCTATCAAGCCTCCTTCCATATGCCAACCACCGGCTCCTCAACCTGCAGCAGAAGAACTGCGCAGACCGAGCATTCCTGCATCCTTTGCGTCATCCGAAGCCGCTTCTCGGATTGGTAGACGACTATCGGTAGAAGATCTGAAGCAGCGTACAAAGTCTTCTTCTCCCGAGCCATCGAACCGACTGACCCGGGAAGCCTCCGTGCTCAGTGCTGCCAGTAAGATAGACGTCTCTAGCTTGGCTTCACGTGCTTCCAAAATCACATCCCCTGGAAGCTTCGATGATGGAGAAGAGCGCGTGCTTCGCGAGGCAGGTTTGCTGGAGGTGAATACCTCTCCTCAGGCCAAGAGGCAATCCCTTGTTATCAAGGACGGTGACATCGATCAGAAGCAGAACGACACCCAAGAGACAACTCAAATGGACCGTTCCAGTCGGATTCGCCGCAGTCTTCATCGGACTCTCCGGGATACCCCCGGTGTTCCCCACGCCCATCTCCCTCGCAGCAAGAAATCTCGCGACTCGCCTTCCGCCGCAGCCGCGCACGAAGACGGTCAGGGAGCGCATGAAGGCGAAGGCTTGTCCCGCAAGTCTGCCAGCTTCACTGTACATGGCAAGAAGGCTTCGATTATCACCTTTGGAAGCGAGTGGCAGAACATGCCACCTGAGGAACGCCTCAAACTTCGGAAGCCCACCCCATCGGAAGAGCCGAGAATGTCCGATCCAGCTATTGCCAGTAGTGCGGACTCGATCACCTCCGGGTCATTGCACCCCGGCCAACCGCACTCCCTGCGTAGTTTGAGTCCAGGCACCAGGAATAGTGCGCATTTCATCGAGGAGTCAGAGAATCTCTATAGCCAGGTCCACAAGGCCAAAAGCGACGATGGTTTCGAGTCGAGCTCCAAACACACTGAACACTCCTTCGTCACCGCGGATCCCGATCAATCCTCTTTGAACGAAGATAGCAATGCCGTCGACGAGACCACGCCCAAGAAACTTACTGCCACACCCGAGCAAGCTGTCAACGCATAAACAGAGCGAACAAATTCAAAGCGAAACCAAGAAAAAAATATCTTCTCAACTCACCCTTGTCAAGACCCGCCTAATTTTCTTCTTCGTTCTCATTATCTTACGACTGACTCACTTTATACCCCACATCATCTTTCATTTTGAAACTATTTCATTGCATCTTGCCCTTCTCTATCATCTCGTATTACTATTACCTCTTATATGATTTAGAGCTCTGACGTTACCTATCATCTCTTTTTGTTTCACCTGATAGATTCTTCTGCGCGCGGGCTCCGCAAATAGACCGAGTCCGGCGCCGTTACGACCTTGATACCACTTTTCCAGCTTTTCTTTATCTTCACTTTTTTGTCCTTGTTGGATCTCCTGGATGGATGGGTCGTTTTCTGGCTGGGTATGTATTGTGTTCGAGTAAGGCACGTGGGCGGAAAAATGTCATTTCTTTACTTGTCTTGATTTTCATTTTCTGTCAAGTTGAACTCGAGATACCTGTGCATGAGATCTCCCTGGCGACTATGTTTGGCGTGATATGGCATTGAGGAATAATTGGATTCGTAATTATGAGCTAGCTAGTTATGAAAGATGCTTCTAGCTTGAGGATGCAAAAATAGATCTGGCTTCCGGTTACACCTCGTACGTAGTAGCCACTGGCATGGACTTTACGTTTTTAAACTTGACGTGTAAGGACTTGTCCTAGTTTGTACTTTTAGCACACAGCCACAATATATAGTAATGACTCCATGGCCTATTCCATGACTTTTCGCACGCTAGCCAAACATTCAAGACATATATAACGAGGACTAGTATGAACCAGGAAAACAGCTACTAGCTTCAGCTTTTCCAATCACCTTCACATGATTGGAAAAGCCTACAACAACGGCAGTGACAATCTGGCATTCCATCCCTAGCTAATATGTTAGTTAACAATTCACCAGAGTCAAGGTAATGACTATAATAGACTCACTTCACTTGTGATAGCAATTAAGATTTAATAGAACCACGTATCTTATCTAGTATCATTCATTCACCTGCCATAACTTCCAACGCTTAGGTGAAAATGGCAGTGTAGCACGCGAGGTGCTTCCATATGTATCAGTGCTATCGCTGTGTACCGAACTACCTGATATAATACCCAATATTTAGTAGACCTTATTAAGTAGCTACCGCTTGAGATATTCATGATTTCATTTCTATATTTACTTTGATATCTCCTCCTGAAAGGTGATATATCAGTAGGTTACTATTTAGTATTTGTATCGCTTCAGCGTATATCTATCGGTTTATACCAATGACTCGAAAGCAGATACATAGAAAATTTGAAATAGAAGTTGGACTTCCAAATCTATGGGGAATATTAAATGAGATGAATTAAAGGGCAAAGAAAAGAAAGTGACATCGCTAGCGACCTGATGCACTGCTGTTTTGGATCCACCGCATAAGGCTGGCCTCCCACTGTGGATTCAGTAGTACATTTTGCGTTGTTTTTATTTCTTCATTTCTAAGATAAGAAAAAAATTTCTCCCTTGGGGATTGGAATCAGATTGCTGCTACTACCAGTTTCAATATTGGTGTAATCCTATTGTTTTGGTGCTGGAGGTGGTCGGAGAGTAGTTGCCTGCCTGGTTGGGTTGATGCTACTTAACTTACTTACTGCCAGGCTATCACCACCTACTACTACTTGAAGCCTCTACCTATAGGTGCCTACAGCCTATCGTCTTTTTACACGCGGTCATATTAACTTCAGCAATGACTTTGGAATAATATCCGGAACAATGATAAAGGCCAAGGTGCTTGTGTTCGCCATTTTGGTATACCCGATCAGTCTTTGGTCCGTTTGCGCGGGGTACTGGGTGTGCGTGGCCGGGTATTATGGCTATAAGATCAGCAGGACGTGTCTGGGTTTTGCAATGCGTGTGTTTTATTTCTTTACCTCGAGTTCATTTTGCTTCCTACGTGCAAGCGAAGGTCGTTCTGTGAAAAGTTACGTGCTGACCAGGTTGTGGTTGTTCGCAGGTACTGATAGATACTTGGGGACTAGCATGTTGGGTAGGGTCGTCAAGATCTTGCTCGTGATACTGATCCGGGAAATATATCTGGCTGTGGATGAGTACGTCGATTCTGTGCGGAGGGGATGGGAGTGTCCACCGTCCGAGGAGAGGAAGCGAATAGGTGAGCGCCCTAGAGAGTGAACAATATGCTGGTCTTCCTGGAGACATTGCAGGTATCAGAAGGAGAAGGCCACCAACTGATTTGTGCAGCCCTCGAGTTTATTTTAGAGCCCCCGGTTGTTGGACTTTCGGATCCTCCACCAATGTTTGAGGCGGCGGCGGATAGCGAGACTGGAGAGTTCGCTGGACATACTGCAGGGGATCGTGAAGCTGGAATGACCGGCGACGGGGAAGCCACGGATGACTCGACCGAGTATGCTGTTAGACCTGAAGTCTCTGATGACGGAACGAACTCGTGGGAAACCGTTGATTATAGCGATAGCTCCGTACGAGATTCCGAGTCCTGGATAGAAACGGTTGAGCGAAATGACGAGTATGAGGTGGACGAATATGGTGACTATTACGAGGGAAAAAGCGAGAAACTCTTCAGCAACGATCCTGGAAGACAGGTGGATACTGATGACCGCGGCATCTTCCTACCAGAGAGCATGTTTGACTATCCTGAAGAAGAGGTTCACTTTAGTGACCACGGATATGCCGAGGAGCAACAGGAAGACAATGAAAAAACAGATGACCTTGACATGATGACAACACAGTACGGGCAAATGGGTGCAAACAGTTTTGCCATCAGGGACAATACCCCGATACAGGCCACAAGAGAGAACAAAGAAGGTCCGTGGGGATCTGAAACCTGCAGTGAATGCGATCAGCTTGTATGGGAAAACGCGTCAACCTCCAACATGATCAACGCAGAAACTACCAGTTCCCAACTCCCAGCTGCTTTGGTGGCCGGCCCAGACGCAGAGCAAACTGGGGCAGCTGAGCCTGCCGGTATTGTTGAAATCGTGAAATCTTTGACGCTAGAGGATATGGCTGGTAGCTGGTGGGATGAGGTCCTAGAGGCTATGGAAGCAGGGTTTGAGGAGGCAGAAGCGGTGTTTCGAAAGGTAGCAAGTGCAGGATTTACAGACATCGAGGTCAATCCGTCTCTGGCTAAAGCAAAGACTGCCCCGAGAAAGAGACGCCCCCAAAAGCCAGAGAAACCACGGAAAGGGCCTGCTAACCGCAATTCCGACTGCACTGACCCAGAGAAGGACTTCTATGATGTGTGTTGGAGTATTCTCAATGAGACAGGCCTGGTGGGAGAGTATATGAGGGACAGGATGCTGGTGAGCGTCTCAACTCCGAAACGACCCAAGGCATAATGAGTACTAATGTGCGCGTTCTGATAGCGTCGAACTTACCATAACGCCCATACCAAAGGGCATCCAAGAGAGAAAGAAAATCATGCAAAGCCGAGAAAGCGTGAATGTTATCTCTGCTGTGGCTGTCATAAACCCATCAAATGAGGGGATTCAGAACCGTGACATTGCTCTCTCCCTCGGACATGTTTCACTAGAATTGTTCTTGATTGTATGGCTGCTGACGACCCATCGTCTCCACCCTTTGTTAGATTTAATTGGTATCTCAACTTTATGTTGTATCTCTTTTGTGACCACTTGGACAAGCAATGGAAGAGAAAGAGATGAAACTCTGGGATTGAAGGATTACATGTGACGGCATGACATAATCGCGTCGGCCACGATTTCTCCTCCAGCTTCAACTTTCCTTCAACTGATCTCCCCTCTCGAACCATCTTGTTTTACTTTATTCTAGCCATTGGCTTGACCTGTCACATATCTAACTTGCTGAATATCTGAATTGGTGTTACCGGAAGCTTCATCCCCTCATCTACCCACATAACTTACTCCGCACCGACCCTCCGACCTCCGATCCCCACTCCGCAATATCTTCTTCCTCGCCGATGCTCCATCCATAACCTCACACCAACCAATCCACCTCCCCCGCAGAGAACCACCGCCATGGCGCACTCTAAACGCAACACCTCCCTTCCTCATTTTACCTCCTACGAGCGCGATCTTCTCAAGTCAAGCTGGGGCACCAAACGCGGAGTCATCGGCCGCGACTCTTTCCTCCCATTCGGCTCGTGTCGACTTTGCCTACACCCGGCGCGGGAACCCGTCGTCGCCTGCGCCACCAACGGTGATCTCTTCTGTCGCGAATGCGCCATTAGTGACCTTCTCGCCCAGCGACAGGAAATCAAGCGTCTCGAAAAGGAACGCGATGAAGCCAAAAAGCGTCTTGCAGAGGAGGAGGAGCGGGCATTAGATGAAGCGCGAACGCGGGAACTCCGTGATTTCGAACTCGTGAGCATGGGGTTAGATGCAGCAGCGAAGAAGAACAACGGGTCAAGCCAATCACAGAATGATGAGAGCTCAAAGAAACGCAAAGCAGATACCACAGAGGCATTGGCTGCTTTCAAGGCGCGAGAGGTAGAGGTGGACGGGAAGCGGAAGAAGGTGTTTGAATTAGATGATAAAGAGATGGCTAGGATCGCGCGCGAGGAGCAAGAACGGTTGAAAAATGAGCTGAAGAAGGAAAAGGTCTAAGACCATTGTCAATCCCCTTGGTAAGCAGCTCGCTGACAATCTCCAGGAATCAAACAAATCAGCCCTCCCATCCTTCTGGGTCCCCTCGCTCACACCCACCACCGACCCGAACGAAATCGCCGCCAACAAAGCCATTAAACTAACCCCCATTTGTCCCGCTTCCACCGACTCCAACCGCCACAGCTACTCCCTCAAATCCTTAGTTGAGGTGCATTTCACCGAAGAAAAGGCCTCCGATGGCTCCCCGGCCCGTGTCTGCCCAAGCTGCAAGAAAACACTGACAAATGGGCTCAAAGCAATGTGTATGTTTTACCTACTTACCCACCGCATATGTCCTCAACGCACCTACTAATACTGTGCTGCTACATCAAGTAACGAAACCCTGCGGCCACGTCATCTGCCAACCATGCGTCAACAAATTCATGACTCCGCACGATGCGCCGGACCCGCACGCCTCCAAAGAAGAGCAGGAGCAGACCGCTGCCCTGCATGGACGGATTCTATGCTATGTTTGCGAGACGGATGTCACGCCGTCAAAGGACAGTAACAAGGATTCCGGTTCGGGGAAGAAGAAAAAGAAGGACAAGGAGGGGATTCGCCCTGGTTTGGTGGAGGTGAGCTCGGAGGGGACAGGGTTTGCGGGGAGAGGGGGGAATGTCGCGACTAAGTCGGGGGTTGCGTTTCAGTGTTGATGTGGTTTGCTTACGAGTCTGGTTTGGCGTGGAGTTTGTGGGTGGTAATATGTTCGGTGTGTGTGTATAAAACCCGCGTTGGGGCGCGGAAGTTGGGTTATGAACTGGCTGCGGAGACAGCGCTATGGCTATATCTATATCTATACGACCTGGGGAAAACTATCATGTCTGATCAATATGAATACATATATAGATGTGGTATCAATCTATACAGAACCAAAATCGACCTGATGATATCCCTGGCCATGCAAAGGGAATAATGATAAGTCTATAGTACAAATGAAGGAACTCTTCCCTTCCCACTATCCACAAACCATCCATCTCTCAATCTACACCTCCATGCCAGATTTATTTCTTCTTGCTGGCATTGTTGAACTCCCTCACGACAACATCACACTTGACCTCCTGGCACAGCCTCTTCCTGCGCCCAGCATCCAACTTCGCCGCAAACTCAAGTCCACTAGCGCGCTCCACAGCTTCAAGAGGCACCTCAAACTCCGTCAAACGCTTATCATTCGAGATCCTCGCATTAGGCAGCACAAACGCGCCCAGCGCAACCTTGCCCGCCGTAGCAGGGCCCTCCTCCGCATACACGACCTTATAGAAGTGCGTGGGGACAGCAACATTCGGCGGGTTTCCGATAACCTCGTACGAGACACGCCACTTTCCATCTTGATCGCGGTGAGGCAAGTAAAGAGGGCCAGTAACCACCCGGACGGAGGGGTACTTTTTCGTCAAGTCACGGCAGAACTCCTCAAAGTGGGCCCAGTAGTCGCGGTTGAATCCCTCACCGACCTGCGGGCACATGTTCGACAGTGCGAAGGTCGCGTCCATGGCGTCCTGCGACCATTTGGCGTCCGCGGCGGGCACCTGGTGGCCGCGGTCATAGCCGGAGCGGAAGTAGTCGGACAGCTTGGCACGGAAGAGCGGCGGGATCGTGGTGTCTTCGAAGAATGTGCTGCCCTTGCGGTCGGCGTTCTTCTGTGCGAGCGACTGCGGGGTGATGTGTTCGGCGACCCAGGACGGGTTGCGTGTGCGACGGTCGTAGGCGCCTGCTAGGGGTGCGGAGAGGAGGGTGTCGGCCACGGGACCGGGGAAGCCATACTGGTAGATGCCGGCTGGGTCGACGGGGAAGCCGCTGGTTGGGGTAGGTTTGGGGGCGAGAGAGGGAGCGGCGGGTTGAGGAGCGGGGAGTTTGGCGGAGGAAGTAGTCGGAGGGTGAGGAGGAAGTTGTTGTTGGGGGAGTTGTTGCTGCTGTTGTGGTTGGGGTCGAGGGGAGTAGAAGAGAGCCGTCAGACCGGCGCCCGTGGCGGCACTGGCGGCAGCGATGGCCGCGAAGGTGGCCTTGGACATGGTTGGCGGTGATGAAGGGAGGGAGGATGTCCAAGGAGAGGAGGAGAGGAGAGGAGAGAAAGGATAAGGATGGAAGAGATGGATGGAGTCGGGACGGAGAAAAAAGTGGATTGCCGAAGAGAGTAAAATTGATGCTGAAGCGGAGACCAATCAGCGGGCGGCAATCAGATGATCGGGAAGTATAGCCTGAAAGACCCCAAAAGGGAAATCCTCAAACACCGTCTCGCTGGAAACTTTTGACCTTCACTTGTATGAATGAATACGGCTTCCCACTTGTGACTGTGTATTGGCTGGAGTTGTGAGAGGGAATGACCGGCAATTTCCTAACAGCTCCTTTGAGACTTCTTTATATGCTATGCCAGCTCGCTGGTCGGATGATCACCGTGTGCAGATGACCCGACCGACCATCAGAGGGATACCCCAGACATCACATAGCATTACTTAGCAGCTACAAGGTTACTGAGCAAAGCTTAGTGAATGGCCGGGAATTTCCTATAGTGAATCTAGAAGCATCCCGCTCTGAACAAGGCAATTCCCGAGCAGCCTAGTAGTGAGCATTGTATCAACTCGGTCTACAATATGAGCTATGCATTCTGACCAACTTTAACTCCCAGGATATGGCAGTTATCATCCGTTTACTATTTTCTGTCAAAGCCAGTGACTTACAACATCCATCCTCATCCCATAATCATGGAAAGAACGCAGACACGCCGCATCAATGAGGAAGTCATCCGAAAATTTAGCACGTCAGAAGACGAAATACTAGCCGATAAAATCAACATTGACCTGTCCATGGACAGTGCGTACGAGTGGTCAATTCAAGTCAGAAAGAAGCTTAAGAAGTGGCATGTACAAGACCTTGTCAATATTAAACTCCCTCACCCTCCTAAGGACGATTCCACAACCTGGCAGAATTGGAAATATCTATCTGGTTGCGTCAAAATCTACATACTTCACAACATACCAAAGGGGTATATCTTCGACCCTCGGTTTACCCAGCAGTCCACCGAATACGCCGACATCCTATATGAGACCTGCCTCCGGATCGCCGTGACTCCCATTGCTGAGAACCTAGCGATACGGTACAGGGGTCTGATGGACTTCAGCCAAAGCTCTCCCCATGTTCTATACAAGGATGATATCGAGTTGTTAGCAAGAATAGTTTCGTCGTGCAACGAGCTGGATTCAACGTTTATTTCGCCTCTTCAGGCTACTTGTATTTTGCTCTCACGGCTTGCAAAACGAAATTCAGAAGGGAAGAACTACGCCGAAATTGTCTTTGCAAGAATCACACCCAAGGACGCCTCGAATATGACCTGGGATGACTTTAATGAGCTTTGGAAGGAACTTCTTTATTGGAAAATTCCATGAGATGCCCAAGCTTGGATTGTGTTTGGGAATTCATCTTGCTGAATACGGAAGCAGGAAGAATGTTATTGAGTTCCAAGATATCCTGCTGAGAGCACTCAAACCTACTCGCTTAGCTTGTTCATGCGTCTGTCTTTTCTACATAGTGCTATCATAGCATATCGTACGGTCATTCATGGTCTGTGGCCTCTCTGTGAATCGCCTGTAAACAAGATCATGTTCATTATCCGTCACATGTATTTAGCAGACCCTAAGCTTGTCTTCATGTATATGTGGTGCGCATAATTGATCCTGTAGCTGATAAAGAAGACAATTTGGGGCTGACTTGAGTCTCTCTGATGTAGTAATCGCCTACGCCTGGGTACGCATTGACTAGCTAGAAATGCCCCTCTATGTTCTTACATTACTACAGTGCTACACCCATATTGCACGAAGAAGACGACAACCACATTATATTCTCGGTCCAGGCCACCCAAAGGACCAAGCCATTGAAAACCATCTCTGCCCTGGTCTGCCTAGCATGACACCTGCTTACATACATGGCCACAATTTCATGGAGGTAGTCCACTGCCACACAGTCCATCACAATCCAATTATTCACCAATTCTCCTTATTTGAAATTCATTCCAGCCCTCCGCACCCCACCATGTAAAGTATCGACCACCTCAAATACAGTGGTGTGATCGCAAACAGACGTGACAATCGGTATACGTCAGGCAGATGGCGGAATTGAAGCATCTAGGATGAGAACAACGAAGTGGACGATTAGTGTCCTGAACATTATTAACGTCTCTCTTCTTGCTGGTGGTGTCACCTTGTTCTCCGGCATTGCCAGCCAGCTTCGTCTCTGCTTGGAGGGCCTCGACTTCGGCCAAGGCCTGGTCCAACTCGGGACACAGAGAGTCTGCAGCAATGGCAACCACGGTTCCGCTCTCATCTTTCAACATGTAGCCGCCATCCTGGTCATACAGGACAGTCTCGGGATTTTCCCGAACTACTTGGTTGAGTTGCTCACGCGTCTCGACCACCTTCGCGCCCTGGGGGATGGGTGCAGTGTAGCGAGTGAGAGACATGGCAGAGCTTGAAGAGATGAGAATCAGAACCAGGAGTTTACCAAGAGATTGGGTGGGAGACATGATTGTTGTTTGCTTTTGGAGCGTACCTGCTTGAGGAGAAGAAGATAGAGGGAGAAGAGGATGAAGATGAAAACAATCTTCAAGTCGGTCTTGGGGCGGCGATTGAGGGGGCTTTTATAGTGGAGATGAAGAGGCTGTCTTGTTAGCAAAGTGATGCCAGTGAGTAAGTGACTCCGATGCCTGTGTAGCCCAAGTTTAGAGGGGAAGTATCTTTAATCAAATCGAATTGATGCTTTTCTAGTTCTGGTTGCCTGCCATCATGTGACGGAGCCCCTGTACGTCACTCGACGCCGAGGGCCAGACTTTAAGTCCCTTTCACGTTGCACTTCATTCATGGTTGATTCGGCCGGTGCAACAATGCTTCTGGACACCCAGGCTTGCGTGGTTGCACTGCTCGGGGGGTAATCCACGTTGCTATATCAATTTGGCTCGTCTTAGCTTTCTGCGTCTCTCCTGACTACTGACTTTTCTCCGACGATTACTTCATGATTTATCAAAGAAGGGTTCAGAATCTAATGCGGTTGCATCTGTACCACTTCTATATTCTCCGGACAGTGGCAGCAGGTACAAGCTTATCTGATAAATGTGCAGGGGAGATCAGTCTGCAGAAGAGTTACGGACTAGAGAGCCGCTACGTCAGTCATACACATTTGGCAACTCGAGTGATTACAAGCACAGATATTCTTCTTCTACCAATGAATTATTTCGCCCGGCTTGAGAGGCTATAGACAGATGACCACCCACAGGCAAGAATGACACTCTTCTGCTTCAACAGTCCCCGTCTTTCCAGAGTCAAATAGGTGGTACTTCAGGTTTCGATTCAGGATTTGGAGTCTGACATGTACCAACCAGAGAAGTATAGATGCTTTAGAGGCTTGGCTCATAAAGCTACTCAGAGGCATTGGCCACTGGGAAGGATGTGTTATCATGAGGTATGGCTGGCACTAGTGGAATCTGGAGTGCTACTGGTGACTGACGATCAACTAAAATCTTAGGTTAACTCGCGCCGACCATTCAGGCGATCCCCAGATCCTCTTACGCCCCATAGTCGCACGCTAACGCAACCGGCAACGCCGAAATACTTCCCCTCGCCGCCATGTCATCTAGTTTTGAGAAAGTGCGCTTCTCGTCTGGAACGGAACATTCAACTAAGGTTACCTTCGGACTGGTTTAGGGCCGATCGTGTCTGCTCAAAGTGCATGTGGGTAATGATTTTTGGATACTACGATTCATTCGCCAGAACGCATGGTCAAGCACGTCTGTGGCATTCAATGTGGACAGCACCCCGGCTTCTGGATCAGCGTCCTGCATTCCAACTGCAAAGCGAGAAGATGATTCGTTTGGACAGAGAGATGCTTTCTAGTTCCTGCTGGCAGCATCGATGTCTAAAACCAACCCTCTTGAGGTGATCAAATTTTCTAATAAAAGTCCAGCTGCTGACGGTCTACATCACGTTACTACTATCATGAGCAGGAACCGACAAGACAAAGTCTACTTTAAGCCTTCGGCTCTAGCTTATAGGTTAGAGCTCTCATACCACCAACCATGTTGCGCGTCGCATGCATGAGCTCGACTTCCAAGGAGGACGCACAGACTACTATGCGCTTATCACGGACTCCGAGCCATTCGGGGCTGTTGCCTGGCGCTGGCGCTGGTAATATATCGTACGTTTGAGACATACTGCTACGTGACTCGCCATGACCCATTGCGTTGCTGCAGCTCATGGCCCGATGGGAAATTAGCCTGGGGACCTTGGAGTCTGCTGGTAGGGCAACTAGCGGATAGGGGCGTTGAGGCACGATGAGTTGTACAAGGGGCTCGCGAGTGGGATGGGGCTCCCAGCAGCGTATCATTATCTTCCTTAAAATTGGTAGTTCTAAACCCCGCCCAAGTAGCTCCCTAATAAACCTCTCCAACGGTGCTGCAGAGATGCAGTGAAAGGACGATTCGTTGGCTGCAGGCAAGGGGAGAATAAAAGAAGTTGAAGAGGGAACAAAGCCGCTGTTTGGTTCAAAGCAAGCGTTGTTGCCCGCAAGGTCCCCAGGTTATCTAATCGCCCGCCGCGTGACATGATATCATGAAATCCAAGGCTCCCCCAAACTCTCTTTCCTTTCCCCTTTGAAAAGTCTCGTTCTTTCTTCGCCGTCAGTGTCTTTTCGCTAGCATCCATTGCTGGCATTCTCGCCTTTTGTTTATCATGGCTGCCAGCAATGACCTCCGGGGCTGGGTCATGAGCGCCGTGTCGGGCGTGGGTAAGTCTACCTTCTGTATAGTATTTAGTTTCACTAGCTAACATAGTCCAGCTTGTGTCTTGGGGTCGGCTGTCATTTGTGTGGATCTTGTTTTACGGCGATTGTCTCGCCGTAAAAGCTTCCAGATTGTCCATAACAATGGCTTCTTATCTGCGTCTCTGAGTCTGAGCGCGGGCGTTATGGTATGTCTCTTTGACCAGTTGACCCTAATGTTGCTAGCATGCTGACCGCGCTAGCTTTACACTTCTCTCTATAGCATGCTGCCTACTTCTCATCGGTACCTGACTCGGGCTGGCTTGTCCCCCTCGCTCGCTGCATACGTGCTTATCGGTCTCTTTCTGGCGGGCGCGGTCGTCATCCGTTTGGCATCGGCACTATTGCATCGCTACATACCGTCACATGTCGTCGATTGTGCTCATACCCATGAGCCACACCCCACCTCTGGTCATGAACACGGGGGCAAGCCAGACGGCCATTCACACTCCCACGGCCCTAACCACCTGAATGAGCGAACTCCTCTTTTGACGCACAAGTCTTCCCCGGCCACTGTGACCGTCCCTGCTGCTGGAGACGACCCAGGCGCACTTCTGCGAAGGGAATCCCTGCGTATCCGCTTCACACGACGCCTCAGTCGTTTGGTTGGCGGAGTCAAGTCACAATGCGACGAGAATGGCCCTTGTTTTGGCTTTTCGCAGGCGTGCGGGCACGAATGCACCAAGACCCTCGAGGGACCGGAAATCTCTGTCCTGGATGACGGCACCGTGCGCCCGCCGCTGCCGCACCCCCACAGCATATCCGTGCAAGTGGACTCAGCACAATTGGATGATCTTGAGGCAAACCTACCATCCTCGCAAATTCGACCTCAAGAGGCGAGTTCCTCTTCGTCCCGTACTGGGCTTCTTGACGACCAGGATGTGGCATCTGAGGACGGAACTAAGCCGCCACCCAATCCCCAACACCATCACCATGTGCCACAGAACGCCTTTCTCTCCATCGGTCTGCAGACATCGATGGCGATTGCTCTGCACAAGTTGCCGGAGGGGTTTATCACCTACGCCACGAACCATGCGAGCCCGACTCTAGGCCTCACGGTTTTCTTGGCGCTTTTCATCCACAACATCAGCGAAGGATTCGCTATGGCCTTACCTCTGTATCTCGCGCTGCATTCGCGCGGCTGGGCGATGTTCTGGTCAAGTTTGCTAGGTGGTATCAGCCAACCCGCAGGCGCTGCGCTGGCAGCTCTCTGGATCTGGGGTGCTCGGCGTGCTAATGGTGACGACACCGCTGGCCCGTCCTGGGGTGTCTACGGCGGTATGTTTGCCGCGACGGCGGGAGTTATGATCTCGGTTGCTCTGCAGCTGTTCAGCGAAGGCCTTACCCTAACTCACAATCGGGGATTGTGCACTGGGTTCGCTATCGGAGGAATGGTCCTGATGGGGCTCAGTTTCGCCCTGACCGCATAGTCATATTGAACGGCGTTGGTGGTAAAAAGCAGTTCCAAGATGCAGCGCATTTTTATACTAGAACACTTAGTTAAGAGATAGCATTGCCGGCGTTAGGTTCACGACTAAGAATGAGTAACGAAAGTCCAAATATACTGTCTCACTACTAGTACATTTGCTAGTTTCGTTCCGTAATCCAGACTGGTTGTTGCTGTTGTCTAAGCAGCCCAGTAATCATTCATTATATCATACAACTATACAGAATCCATGTCCAACGCCAACTATATGCAATCTGCCACCCACGAAGTAATCAATCACGCCTTCTTCGCAGCAGCCTCGCGCTCCCTCTTTCTGGCCAGATACCTCTCCTTCGCACTCATGACATCTCCCTCGGTCTTGCGACTGCGACTCCGCTCCGCAATCTCCTTCTGCCGCGCCGCCTCTGCCTCCTCTTCCTGTCTCGCCCGCTCCTCCAACTGCGACGCAATCATCTCCGTCTGGCGCGCACGCTGTCCACCGCGTTCGGCCTGCCTCTGCGCCCCAAACCTCGAAGCCTGCACCGCTGCCCTCGACGCCGCCGCAGCCGCCGCATCCTTCTCCCTCTGTGTCTGCTTCGGCTTCGGTGCGACATTCAACCCCGCCGACAACAATTGCCTCTTATCCACCACCTGTCCCTCATCATTAACCGCAATATGCGCCCCCTTGGCATTCAACTCCTCCGCCACCTGCGCCTCGCTCTTCTCCTTCTCTCCCTCCTCCTCTTCAACAATAGCTCCACCCTCCTTCACCTTCTTCGCCGCCTCCTCCGCAGCCTTCACAACAGCCTCATGCCTCTCTTCCCCGCGCGACAACATATCCCGATAAAAGTCCACCATCCCAGACCCCCCGTTCTTCTTCCGTCTCTCCTCCTCCTCCTTCTCCCGCGCCTCTTCCTCCGCCTGCACCCGCCGTAACTCCTCCTGCTGCGCCTTGTACGCTGCCGTCACGAACTTCTCCTTGTCGGCGAACTCGTCGCCCTCTGCTTCGCGCTCCTTCGCGAGCAGCCGGTCCCGCGCTCGCATTTGGTCCCGTTTGCGGATCTCCGCGCTGCGGAGCAAAGACGTCATGTACTTAGGTACTGTGGAGCCGCTCTCGCTGTCGGAGGCCTTCTTGTCCTTGCCGGGTTTCGCGTGTAGACTGTCGTACACGGCGTCGTACGAGTAGATGGTTGGGTCAAGTTCGGACGCTTCGGCGGCGTGTTTGCGGCTGCTATGGAGGGCCGAGAGGTTGGTGTAGGGTTTTGTGGTGTCGATGTCTTTGGATTTGGGATTGGGTTTGGATGTCGAGGGGTTGAGGCCGTAGGTTGGTGTGTTCGCTTCTTCGTTGTCATCGTCTGAGGCGTCCGCAAATATGGAGCTCTTGTTGAGCGGTTTCATGTTGGGTGGTTTGGGCGCTCCGGATGATGCGCCGGGGGCGAGGAGCTTGCGTTTCGCGGGGCGCTCTTCTGTCTTCTCTTCTTCTTCTTGGTTGTTGCTAGGTGTGAGATCGTCTAGTCCGCCTATTGTCGTGATTTCAATTGCGCCGCCGCCGCTGTTAGGACCTTTCTTGGTATTGGTAGTAGGTTGGGGTCCATCGTCGTCGGAGTCTTCGCCGAAGATAGGTTTCTTGCGTTTCGGCGCGGGGGGGTTAGGTCGAGAGGTGGGTTTGGAGGGGAGGTTGAGGCCGTAGCCTATCTTTGGGGGAGGCATTGTATCCTTTAATTTCCTAGCTGGATTTATGTCTTCCGTAACCTTTGAAGATGAGAAAGGAAGATGAAGATGAAGCTAGAAACCCATGATGCACGTCACGTGGACCCTACCCTCTGGTTCCGTTTGTTATCTTATCACACGTGACACAACTCCCTGGCCATCTCCGATTCCCCGAAAGCCACAAGTAAATAGTGGCCCGCAACCGACCCCGACCATCGAGAGTATAACAGACAGACGGGCAGACAGACGAACAACCAAAATGTCCTATTACTTCACAATCCTCTCCCCGACGGACGTCCCCCTCTTCAACATCGCCTTCGGCACATCCAAATCCGGGGGTGACGGGATCGCCCGTTTCCGATTCCCTGATACAGCGCAGTACATGAACCAGTTCATTATCCATTCGAGTTTGGATATTGTGGAGGAAGCGCAGTGGATGAATGGGAATATGTATATCCCCTTTTTCTTAATATATTGATAAGTACTGGGCGTAATTGGCCATTATGCTGATATCGATGTTGTTTCATGGCAGGTACCTAAAACACATCGACACCTACCCCCCCGCATCAGCATACATCTCCGCCTTCCTGACCCCCTCCGGGGCAAGGTTCCTTCTTCTGCATCAGCCGCCCCAGTTAGCTTCGAATAGCGGTCAGGGAGGGAGTGGGAGTGGTTCGATGGGCGGGTCGATGTCTGGGTCGCTGTTGTTGGGATCTTCGGGCGGGTCGTCGCGCGCGTCTGCGAGCTCGATAGCTAATAATCCGACGTCGCCGCAGACGGAGGAAGCCGTGCGTCAGTTTATGACTGAGGTGTATGAGAATTATGTGAAGACGGTCATGAGTCCGTTTTATAGACAGGGAATGGAGATTAAGAGCCCGGTGTTTAGGGGGAGGGTTACGGCTGCGGGGAGGAAGTGGTTATAGGGTTGATTTATTTTTGTTGCTATTGATTTGTTGATTGTAGTTTGATGCGGTTGGGTTAGGTTGAGGCGTTTAGTGGTTACTCTTTGTACATGGTGTTTGGAAGATACCAGTTTCATATTCAATGTATGCATGTCCATAAATCGTGTTCATAGCTTCGTTATGATATCTTGTCCTTGGCCGTCCTGATGATGGCTCCTCTAACCCAGTGGCAGCTCATTCCTCCAATGTTGATAGCGCTGAATGGTATCCCAGATTTGATCCCAATAAAGTCAGAAGGCCACTGTGGGCGAGTAGCAAAGAGGTAAAGAGAATAAGGCAAAAATTGAATCATCTCCACGCCACCTATCATACCGTCATCTGCGGAGCCAGCTTCTTCACAGTCACGGCTTTGAAGTTCTCCACTGCATGCATCACGTCCTCTAATTTGGCTACTGCTCCGAAGATTCCTCCCTCCATCTTGACTGACTCGATGGCACTCATGTGAAGGGATGGTTCGCTAGCTGCAGTTCCGTCTTCAAGCACCACGCAGTCAAAGCCCCGGTCATTGGCCTCGCGCATAGTCGTCGCAACACACACATCGGTCGTTACACCTACTAATACCAGGTTCTTGATGCCGCGATTGCGGAGGATAAGTTCGAAGTCGGTATGTGCAAAGGCACTCCGGCCAGGTTTGTCAATGACCGGTTCCCCGTGAACCGGGTACAGTTCGTCGACAGTGTCGTGACCCACCTCGCCACGTATCAGCAGACGGCCTAGGGGTCCGGGAGATCCAATTCCCATGCCAGAAGCATTATTTTGTGAGCGGTAGGCCTCTCTACTAGAGAGTGTCGACAGATCGGGCCGATGCCCTGGACGACGTCAGTAATCGAAGGAAAAGGAAGGGAAAGTGCCGAGACTTTCACCTACCTTCCCGGGTGTGGTAGATGGGAAAACCGGATGAGCGAAATGCATTCAGCAGATGCTGTAATTTCGGAATTAGTGCCTGATTAGCCGATATGTCGTAGCCCTGAAGGCTCATGTATCCACCCGGCAAACAGACTGTGTTGGCATCCCATTAGTAAAAGGCTCAGCCAGGACCCACACGACCACATGGGATTATACGCACAGTCCTTTTGCATGTCAATAATTACTAACGCCGTCGTATAGGGGGTCAGCGTCGCATCGTGCGGCCAATCGTAGGGGACCGCTGCGATCTGGCCCTTCCGGACCTTATGATGAGGGACCTGCCGAGGCTTTTCGACAATCGGGCCGTGGTTGTGCGTGGCGTTCAAGACAGTCAGCGTCCAAATCCCAGGAGTTCCAGCTGCAACTAGCATGAACGGGCAATCCATCAACCGGGATGTTCGCCGCCGCTTCCTCGTCTCTTCAGTGAGCCCGTTGCGCGGGCGATAGTGGCCCCCGCGATCGCATCGCAACCAGACCTTAGCAGTCCGCCCCGGTTTCTTTTCCGTGGGAGTGCTGGACGACTTGACTACGACGTTGTATCCATGAGCTTTTCCGTGAGCTTGCACTGCTGCGAGAAGCGTCGCCCTTTAAGGAAGATCACCACGATGTGAGTTATCAGATCCACTATGGAGCCACAGCGGACCGATCCGCTACCCGACGTGTGGCAAGGGGCACAGAGAGGGTGGGAAAGGAGGAGAGGGAGTGAACGGGCCAAACTCACTTATCAGGATATGTCCCCTCCGGCGGGGGAAGCAGTTGCATAGACATGTCCGGAATATCCTGTAAATCACTGGGTGCATCCAGGTTCAGATCGGTAGGATCCGCCATGGTGACAAGTGGTGGGGAAGAGAGGGTCTGGCAGGACACATCAGCGTCATCAGACAGAGACCCATGACTTTCATTGGGACAGAGGATAGCGCGAGCAGAAAATAAAAAAAAAATAATCAGGAGCAGAAAGTCATCGTGTCCATGTGGAAACGGGGGTCCAGCAAGTGCGTGGAAGCACCTTCTTAAGACAGGGACGGGGACCGGGATTCAATATGTGCGTGGATATAGCGTCACGACTGGTGTATGCCTGGGACGGCCGGGCTGTGGCGGGATCCCAAGCCAGAATACTGGGTGGGTGAAAGTCATAGAAGAGAAGAAATACATACAAGAGGGGGGTCACACGCGGGAGCAAATCTTCCCGAAACCAGTTCCTTCAAGCTCGAGTCGTGAACAGGCTCAACAGGGCGAAGAGAATCAGCGCAGGAGCACGGCTCCGGGAGGACAGAACGGCGTGGCAGGAGAAAGTGAGTGAGTGAGTAGGAAGCCGTGTGTGTTCACAACCCCTCACGTGACTGTGGCCCGTGCCCACAGCTCTTCGGCTGTAGTCTTAAAAGCGCATCTTCCTCTTCACTGTTCGCAACACTCATCATCCCTTATTCACTTCATACTTCGACATCTCTTTCTATTCTCTCTCTCCCGATGAGACTCATCTCTTTCTCTCGCCTCATCTCTTATCATCCCATACAAGGCTAGTGGTGGCTCTGTCTTCATCAGGTCCAGGTATGAAAAAGAACACTCCGCATCTTCATGGACATGCTGACCTTCAACTCAGGTGAGAGGCAGAGAAGAGAAGAAACCAAACAAAAAACAAAGATGAAATGAAAGAAACTCAAAACAGCAACCGAACACGAGCCTCAGAAGAACAAGCTTATTCCTGCTTGTTCTTCTGAGGCTCGTGTTCGATGCTGTACTCAGCGTCTTCAAGCACCAAAGCCAAAGGGCAATCGCCGGCCGGAGGGTATGAGCAGATATCTTCACCGATTTGCGTGGCGGACGACTGTGGCAAGGTTTCACAGTCATCTGCTGGCATTTCTTCCGAGTAGAGAAGCCGACACCACGGCCCCTCTGCCAACAAGACTGATTCGTTGGCAGAGGGGTCGAACAACGAGGTATCTGCCGCCTGGTAAACTTCGGCTTCCTTTTCGCTGCCGCTGTTTGTGGCGCCCGTTGGCAGGATACTCTGCTCTTCCGAGGAATGAATGGTGCCACTGAGCGCAGTGTCTTCCGATTGATGAGCTGGAGATGAGTCATTAAGAGCACATGTTTCGCCCAACTCCTGGGCCTCGGAGGCGGAATCTTCATCATTAACGCGCAAAAAGTCGAATCCATCCTCACCAATGAGCTGTAGCGTTTGCCGCAAGCCTCCGTTTGGAAGAACAAGTCTGGAATGCCCGTTAGCCAGAAACCCACATTGGTATCGGAGGACTTACTGTGTGTCCGCCTCGGCCCACATATCACCCTTGGACTTCTCGAACTTCAACCTGTGCTCACAGTACGTTCCTTGGTGATAAAAAATGCAATTTGCACAAGCCGCCCTGTGCAGGGCACGGCCACCAAAGCTAGGCGAAATCACGCACCTGACAAAAGGACCTTTTGTCTGGCACCGCACGCATCTCGCGACCTCCACTCCTCGGCGGTAAAGTAAAGCTGCAGTGATTGACTCTCTGCTTTTGATCCTACGTTCGACGGGTTGTCCATTTTCAAGAGCCCACTCAAGGGGTCTAACAACGTCAAGCACGGTAGCCACTTGTTTATCATACTTCGTTATTTTCGGCTGGCTGCCGGCCTGCTGGGTTGCGGTACTGTTCTGGGCTGGTGGTATGTGAGCAAACTGATACGAGATATATGGGAGGCATCAGACCTTCAGGCAGACGCAGGGTATCCTCTTTCGCTTCTCTCATCGCAACAGCGATGCGCCTGTCCACCTCAGCTTGTCCGATGGCCGACATGTTGTCAACGAATCTGCTTCAGCCGAATCTCAAGTATTAAGGCAGAGAATGTTCAATATGGCTCTATACCACCTGAAATCTTCAAACGAGCTGTCGTGATACACTTGATAACTAGGATAACTGAGGGTAAGAAGCAGCTAACCAAGAAGCGTTAGCGTCAGAGAGAGATGTTTTCAGGGAGAAAAACTGGGCCACGTGTTGCTTTTAGATCATAACAGAAGCAGTGAATGGAGTCTCGCTGGGCCAGTCATGGCTCATGATTGTCCCAGCGAGTCAGCAGAAAGAATCACTGTCCCAGCAGACCCGCCGAGGTGCTCACAGTGCACCGTGTTGTCTCCTCGGTTGGGATGGTGGTTCAAGCACAAGGGCTAGTCAGTTCACAAATTCACATTCCATCTACAGAATGTGCAATAGCCGATATTCATGTGAGTGAGATTCATTCGCCCAGGCCAGCAGCTGGGGAGTGTTCACCAAGTGTCACGATATACTGTTGATAATACTGTTGAATATCACGCTTCTCAGTAGCCACACTAGAATCACCAAACATGCTGAAAGCACTATCTTTTACTTCCACGCCTACAACTCTCCGTAGCCTTCATTATTGGGTCCTCGATCACATAGTAATATCTCTGCAGTCCATCCGCAAATGGGTGACCTCACCACCTATCGACCCTATAGTAGCTTCGATGAGTCCAATCCAATGCACCAAGCCCTCCGATCTAAAGTCTCAACAAAACCAGCCTGCTACCCATCGTCTATGCCATCTCCAGCCTTCCACTTTATGTACTTTTCATGTAAGTTTTGAACGAAACATCCACTTTATGTGTCGATTACGCAAATCTGTTTTAGGTTTTATTCTATTTTTCGGTATTCCACCAAGCTAACCGAATCTTTTCTTTTGCTAGAGCCTTAGTAGCTACAGCAATTCAGTCATCTATATTGATTGATCCACAGCTAACTGACAAACCGGTATTTGCAGTCTCTCATATATAATTTTAGTTCAACATCAAAACAGACAGTACATGCTCAATATAGATTGTCAGTGTAATCATAGATGATGACCAGTACGCGGGAGCCCGCCATGTAAAATAAGGGGATATCAAAGCGTTCGGTGGTTTCAATGGTGGCAAAAGGGCTGGAAATCTCCCCTCTATCGCCGCATATCGTCACTGACTTATTCCGTGGACACTTCGTCGATTCAAGTAGCATTGGGTTCTGCAACATTGAACAATAAATCTCTGTGATGAGTTTCATATTTTAGGGTACTGCTATTGTAAGGCAATCTAGTGTCATCTGAATCATCGTTGTTGTTAAGATGTAATAGTTGGTTTGTCTTCAGAAATTGCTGCTTTTTGGTTATGTGTAGAGCATGGAATTTCTTATTGTGCTCTGATGATACGATCGAGTTCAAATACTATGTTTATTTATATGTGGTTTTGTCCTTTTTTTCGAAAACGGAGGCATCACATTAGGCCAATTTGAGACCCTTGTTTCAGATGGGATGATCTCTATGTATCGAATCGACCATTACAGAGAGCAGTCGAAATCATACCGTATGGCTGAGGTACCGGGCTGTATTCACCCTGAAGGTCAGAAGGGGGTAATACTTCTAGCAGTAGTTGGTTCTCGCAATTAGAAAAGCCCAGGAGACCATACTACAGTATAAGAATAGACATATAGCTATTAGTCTGGGTAGTTATCTGGGTTTCTGTATTGCAAACGTTTTCTGCGCGTTTAGGTCACTGGCCCGGGCTTATTCTATATATTCTAGAGCCGGACGAGTATCCTGAGACATACCTCAATATGCGAGAAGTTGATCGTTAGTACCAAATATCATCTGTTAGTATGGGAGCCCAGAGACTGTTCTAGTCATAATCACGATCTAGATCTGGGCTGAGCAAGATTATGTACAAGAAAATGCGGTTCTGTGGATGTCATAAAAATCGTCAACCGAAGACACGTATACAAACGCGAGCTTGACGTCCTGGGACGATTTATGTTGGAGGACTAGCGTCGAGAGATCTGGGCATGTGAAAGCTGGAACTTAAGCATTTAGATGTATCTCCGGTCTCGCATCCGGGTGGAGAGCCTTCTTCGTGCTAATACATGGCGACATTTGCATGTTACAGGGCCGCGATGCCTTCAAATAAGGAAGAATGCTTCGGGTATAGTGCTACTACTAGGTCTAATAGCAGATTATAATCGCAACCGCGACTGCGACCGCTTAATGGTCGCCAGCAGTCCTATCAGATCCGTGAATGCTCTTGGGATGCCTGATGGCCATCTGATTGGTGCGCAAAGTTCACTGGCGGCCGACCTGGCAACACACCAATCGTAGGGAGACACCAGTTCTACTAGTACTAAGTAGTATACCTTACCTGGCTGAGGTGGTCATCTGAATGGAAGCGCACTAGTGAGTTGGGATCATATGTTGACGCTCCAAGAATTGAGGGAAACTAGTATAGAATATAGAGTTCAGTTCCATGGTTCAGGCAGAAAGGGATGTACTTCCAGAGATCTGGGTAAGCATCTAGGGAATGCGGAATAGCAACTCAGATCCAGAGTGATGAAAAATTAGTAGAGCATACGATGAATAGATAGATGAATAGATAGATGGATGGATGGATGGATGGCATCTGACTGTTGCCCAGGCAGAGGATGTTATTTTGGACTGTTGACGATCGGCAACCTCAGGCCGCGAGACCACGGGGGACTCGGGCGTAAGTTACGGTAACCCGTCACGACCGGTAAAGGCGGTTGTTGACAGCCAGACCCCGTGCCACTGCCGCCATTGGCTGATTGGATCTTGCGCCCGTCCCGTCCGCTCTGGATAGCATCACCATCCATCTACCCAACTACTCTCCCCTCGAAAACATTCTCCCTTCCTCCCCCCTCCCCTCCCCTCCCTCCCCTCTCTCCCCTATCCCTTTCCCTCTGTGAGGGATTCATCTAAGGTAAGTCAATTTGCTGAGGTCATTCTGGTCTTGGTATTCTTTCAGCGATCTGGTCCTTTTCACCTCCCGCTTCGTCCTGTCTCCTTCCTGGCGTCCACGCCTTCTCACCGTCGCAAGCGTTCCCGGCTGCCTGCGACACCGCCTCGGCCCCTCCGACATCACCACCAGTTCACGCACGGTTGTTCTGACTACCCGCGTGTTCATGCTCTCGACCCTGGCCTCCCCTTCTCCCATCCAAACCATTCTATAAATCTGCCCCCCTTCTCCCGGGGTCTCTCTGACGTGGTCCCCTGGAGCGTGCGTTCCGATCGCCGGTTTCGTCTGCTGGTGCCGCAATCATGCCATCGGCCGACGCTTCTTCGTCCGCCCGCCCCAACGGGACCAGCTCGCGGTCTGATCAGCTCGCTTACTACAAGGCGCAATATGAACAGCTAGAAGCCGAACTGGCGGAATTCCAGGCTTCCAGCCGGGAACTGGAAGCGGAGCTGGAGAAGGATATCGAGGCGTCAGAGAAGCGGGAGCGGGTGTTGAAGGAGAAGCTGGAAAACCTGAGATACGAGGTCGACGAATGGAAGGTGAGCCTGACGTGTTCCTGGTCCCTCAAACTTCCCTCGTGGGAGGCTTGAAGATCTCCAAGGTTAACGGGAACCCCCTTGCAGTCCAAATTCAAGCAGTCCAAATCCGAGGCCAACACGGCCCAGAATTCGCTGCAGAAGGAAATCACAACCTTGCGAGACGCCAACCGAACCCTGCAGTTGAGACTACGTGATACTGAAGTTGCGAACGATGATTATGAGCGTCAGGCCCGCCACACCACTTCGTCCCTGGAGGATATGGAGCAGAAATATAACATGGCCATTGAGCGCAGCGTCCTGTTGGAAGACGAGGTGAAGGCCGGAGAAAAAGAGCGCGAGGCTCTCCGCATTCAGTGCCAGCGTCTTCGGGATGAACTATCGGAGCAGAAACTCGACAACGAAATTCTTCAGGAGAAGCTTCGTCATGAGCAGTACGGCGGTCGGCGCAAGAAGCCGACGCCTTTGTCCCGCACGGCATCGTCAACACCGCAGGCCCCCGAGATTTTCGATCGCTCCCCGGGCACGTCCGCTGTGTCATCTCCCCTATTTGTTCGTACGCCGATGAAGTCCTCGTTGATGGGTGTTACTGCAGCTCCTCCATCGCCACCAATGTCCGAGACGTCGGTCAGTGTGACCAACATGATGGCCAACATGCGCAAGACAGTTCATGCTACTGCTGGATTTCCGCTCCAGAAAGCGTCAGGATCCGAGTCTCTCATGGGCTCCCGGTCGATGTATGACGCCAGACCCAACAAGTCTTCCCGATCTCGCACCACTGGCAATGCAAGCAACAATACCCGTTCTTCCGCATCCACAGCCACGTCCCGCATTAGTTTGACGAAGCCCGCCAATTTTGGCAATTCGATCAGCTCGATCAATTCTCCGCGAAGCGAGAATGATAACCAACAGAGCAATCTGCCCAAATCGGGTTCCTTGTTCCAGATTCGGGGTCTCATTGGCAAGATGCAGCAGCTGGAAGAAAGAGTCCAGTCAGCCAAATCCAAGCTGCCTCCCCCGTCCGACTCGCCGTCTCGCACCTCTTCGCGTTCCGGATCGATCTCCGTGAATGGGGGAAGTCCCGTTGCTTCCACTATCACTATGCGCCGAAACTCGCGCAAGCGGTTGAGTGGTAGCAGTTTCAGTTCGTCGATCCGGGATAATGATGGCACGGCATCATCTGTCTCCAACAACCGACCATCCTTTGGCACCCGCAATGGAGGTGACAGCCGACCTAGCAGCCGTACTAGCTACTCCAGCGCCTTCAGCCAAAGTACACACCCAAGCATCGCGCCGTCGACACGCCCAGAGAGCCGCCAGAGCCGGACTAAGACTCCTTTGGGACATTATTCGACGAACCCTACCACGGAGAGCCGGCGGCCGCGGTCGTCGCTGAGCAATCCGTCGGGGCAGAATGGCTCGGTGAACGGCATGTCGAACATCGATGAAGATGAGGACCAAAGCCTAGCGTTCC